ATTTTATTTTTTTTTTTTTGTCAACAAGTCTACCATGATCTAAGGGGGGGGACGACACACAAACAACCACATTCTTCCTACAAACTACCCCGGGGTAGAGCCCTCATCCCTGTTTTCCAGCCGGGATTTGGGGACCGGGAGGGGGGGAAGTTGTGTTGTCCCCCGTAGGAGCCATTTGACTCAGAGAAACCCTCGAATTTTCCTTCCTCGATCATTTTTGCTGAGCAGACATTCCCTCCCTGGCAGGCGGGGGCTGTTTTGCCCTTGGTTTTTAAAAGCCCTTAATGCTTTTACAGCTCAGGAAAACGCAGGGAGTGGAGGAAATGGGAGAACAATATTTTTTTGGAGCCGCCCAACGAGGCAGGAATGGAAAAATGGGGCTCCCAAGACCTCCCCACCCCACACGAGGAAAAGGGATGTGTTTGTGTGAGGAGTTGTCTCCCGTGTCCTTCGGAGCTTGTTTGTCTGTGTGTTTCTGGCACGCACCCTGCTTTTCTTTCTCTGCCATCCTCTCCTTCCCCCGGAGTTAATTCACACCTGTTAGTATAAACCGATAAACTGGCCAGATAAACTGTAGGGCATAAACTGTTCGCCTGCCAAAACTGCAGGACAAATTTCCTTGCTGCGAGAGAATTATTTCACAATTAGGTGCGTAATGGAGGAACTGCACCTTTTTTTTTTTCCTGCCGCCTCTGGTCCCGGCGAGCTCGCCCCATTGTCTCTCGGGGCACACTAGGGGGGGAAAAAAAAAAAAAAAAAAAAAAGCGCTGGATTAATGAAGAATTGTGGGTTTGTTCTAATTTGGCAAAACGAGGAGAGCTCTCTTTCCAGCCTTTGCCAGCTGGGGGATATTTGATCCCAAAGACCCCGGCTTGGAGCTGTGCCCGGCGTTCCCTTGGGAGCCGTGTTTACGCTCTCCCTCTCCGGTTTCCTCCGGTGCCCGTCTTTCCAAGGAAGACGTATCCAGCCTGGCTCTCGCGGCCCGCGGCGGCTCGCTCTCGGACAGTAAACCACATTCCAGCAATGTCAAAGGACGATCGAGCCCTGAGCCAAAGAGCTTGCCAAAGGTACAGTCCGAGTCACGTTCCACAGCCCCAGTCCTCTCCAAATTTCTCTTTATCTGCCAGTCAGCTCTTGCCCTTTGTTCCCCTGACCCCTATCCGGCTGGCAATGCCTCCCCGCTCCTTCTGCAGAAGAAGGAGCAGCTGTAATTTCCTCGGGGCCGAGACTCGGTTCGCAAGGTTTCCCACGCGAGCAGCGCCCCGGATTAAGCAAGGGTTTTGGAAATGCTTAGGAATCGTAGCTTGTGAAAACGAAAGCTTCGAAATGCCACGTCTCCTTCAAAGAACCGGGGCATCGGGAGAGAAGCTGGTTGGATTTCTGGGCAGAGGCCAGCTCTTGGGGGCTTCCTTGCTTCCACTAAGCAATTATTTTAAGGCGTTCACCCCCCTCTCAGCTTATTCGTGGGGTTGGCGGATCCCCCCACCCTTAATAGAGAGCAAAGCTGCTGCTGAGGGTGGCGGGAGAGCATGGCCACAGCCTTGTCCTCTGCCACTCTGCCTGGCCCCGAGGGATGGCAAGGAGAGCTGCATGGCTAATTATATGCTTGGGGATAACCCGGTTCAAAGGAAGCAGGGTTGGGCTCAGTGAGAAACCAGGCCCTGAGGTGACTCACTGAAAGCCGGGGCTGCTGCGTGGGTCATGGAAAAGGAATTGGGTAAGGCAGAAACTGTGCAGCTTTCAGCGCCGCGCTCTATGCTGGCCGCATCGTGCCTTGCTGGAAACTGCCCGCGGTCCCACCATCCGTCTTTTAATAACAACCCGATGCTGATAAAAGCCTTTTTTTTCCTGGTCTAGGTTATGGGGAGCTGCTACCCATCGTTGCCTGGAGAAGCCACGCTCCTCTCGTGGCACGCTGTCCTGCGTTCCCTCTATGAGACGACCGCCTGCCACCCCTGAAGAGATCTGGTGGGTGCCTGCCGGAGGCTGCAGCCCTGGAGCTTCTCCATGCTGTTTTCTCCATTTTTTTCACCATATATGGTTGCTTCCAGCAAATTCGAGGCCGGGAGGGGGGGAAGAGAGGGACGTGAAGGGATTCACAATGGCCCGAGCAAAGGGACAGAGTGTGCCTGTTGTACGGTTGAGAGCGGGAGCCAGGGCGGAAAAGGCATTTCCTTTGGCGAGGTTGTTTATGTACAGGGAACATAATTAAATAAATCCCACGCTGATTACATCGGGTGCGCGTCGCTACAGCTGGAAAACGAGGGACTGTGGGACATGGGTGGCTCCTGGAAAGCCACCGCTTGTCCCACGCTCGGCTTCTCGCCGCTCACATTTCCCCGCGGCCACAGCGGTGGTTCAACAGCAAAAGGGCCGCTTGAGATTTCTAGGTTTGAAAGCAGGCACTGAAGCAAGGGGAGCTTCTCCGTTTCAGTTTCTAAATAAACCCAGCAGTTCTGGGCAGGTCGTTAAGGTTTGCGGTGCCTGGCTTGAGGCAGGGCGGGGGCACAACACCGCTGGGTCGCTGGAACGCAGAGGTGTTTCCAGGGATTTACCTGAAAGAGGTCGGAAAGCTCTCAGGGCGGGTCACCGTTAGGGGTTTCCAAAATCAGCTTTTTTTGCTGCTTTCATCCACAGCGATGCCTTGTGTCTCAGCTGCCTCTGCTTCGTAGCGTTGTGCAGGCTGCGTAGTGTTTTGAAATGCTTTGTGGCACCAATCGGGATCCCCTCTTCCCCTTCCCC